CGGCATTAATTCTATGACATTACAGAATGTGTTAAACAGTTCTCATAAAGGTTATAAAGCTCTTATACATTTTTTGAAAATAACAAATTTATATAATAAAATATAGATGGAAGGTTTTTTTTATTTTTTATTAGCATTTCCCTTGATATCATCGCCTCACACTCCATCCCAGTAGGTGGCGGAATATGCACCAAAAGCTGGTTTGCCAACCGCCATTAAACATCATGAGAAGAAGAAGAAGAAGAAGGCAATCCTGCTTTGGCCAGGCAAACGAGCGGAGCCTCCCAGCTACGCTGGATTTGAATGTCTAGTCTAGTGTACAGACATAAAAACTAAAATGTCAAAATCCATCAAAGAGTTCAGTCTTCACTACGACCCGATTAATGAAAGCAATACCTTTACTAGTGGGGATATTGTAGAGGGGCGAGTTGTTTTGGAGGTAACCAAAGAAATAAAGGTGGACAGCTTTTTTGTGAAGCTGACGGGGGACGCACATGTAAGCTGGACTGAAGGATCAGGTGACGACGAAACAACCTATAGCGACCATGAGAGATACTTCAAACTAAAGCAATACTTCATTCAAGAGAGCTCAAAGAAAGGTGAGGTTGCACATAAGAAAACGTCAAATATATAAGAATATCAAATTTGTATTCCAAATTGTGTAACGTAAGTTACTTTTATTTCTTGCTGTAACGTCTACAGGAGAAAGTGAAAAGAATACAACTCTTGTAGATGGAGAGACTTGTAAGTAAATGGGTTTCATAGCCTATACCTTGCACTAAGTAAATAGCATAAAATTAAATAAATTGCGTAAAACTTTTTTTTTCATAATTCACATGAAACCAGAAATGATTGTTTGATGATAGTAAACTAAATATGCTTGTTGAAAAACTATTGTAACCCATATTACATAACCCCATATTAACCTTATTGTTCATCAGATGGACCAGTGATTAGGCCAGGAAGTCATGTTTTTCCATTCACATTTCAGCTGCCTCAACAGTGAGTGATACTACTGATGTGCTTTTCAAAATACATCTTCAATTGTTGTTGTTCCTTATTGTGTAAATATGTGCACAGTGAAAAAAATATTCAGCAGGTGTAATTCACAGCCTGTGAACACAATTTACAGAACAAATAAGTGAATCAGCAAGAGCATAAGAGTGTGCCGCATTTTACTTCCTTCCAGTTCAGTTACAATATTAGCACAAATTATCATCCTTGAAAAAAAACATCATATTAATATATACATACATTTTGCTAATGCATAATGCACATTTATGCATACGATATACTGTTTATATGACATATTGTAATGTTTGTCAGAAACTAAAGAGTTTTATTTTTCCATAATTTCAGAAATATGCCTCCATCTTTTAAAGGATTTCATGGCTGGGTTAAGTATGTCTTGACAGTAAAGCTGAGCAGGCCTTGGAAGTCAACATCTTCTGCACATACGGAATTAACCTTTGTGCTGAGAAATGATGGGAGCAATGATCATTTACTGGTATGAATTATAATGCCATATTTCACTATTTAGCACTCATCTATCAATTCACATAAATAGAGAGATGATGTAACCACTTATTAAAGCATTAAGCCCCAAGAAGCCATGCATTTACAGTGCATTTAGAACAGCTAATGGGTGTTGTTAATGTTTTTTTTTTTTCATAATCTAAACCAGCAGCAATTAAATATTATTCATCCCCCAAGCAATGTAATTCTGATAGCAGAATGTTTGCCAAGCAACACATAAGACGCTGTGGCACAGTAATACTGATGTAACGGGTATGTGTTCCTAGAGTAATTTACAATGTCAATCAAATAATGGAACTATCCGTTTTATAAACCATCATCAGAACTCAAGTAATGTGATTTTAAACCAATGTTTGTGATTTATGAAATATAGTGTGAATTTTAGTTAACTCAATTTAGAATGTTGTTTTTTTCATACAGCAACCACAATCTGGCACACAAGACAAGAGGATGAAACTTTTTGGCTCAGGGAAAATGTCAATGAATGTAACAGCTGAAAAAACTGGCTATATGCAAGGTGATCATGTCACATGTTTAGCTCTCAAGCGTCTCTTGCAAAGCTGACTAAACTGAAGACACTAGCCTGCAGTGTCAACTGTCGGGTTTCCATCAGCATATTTGTATGCACATTGTAAGATAATGTATAAAAATTCAGAATGTTACCAAGGAACATGTGAATCAAATTCACATACAATTCAAAATTCACATAAAAAAACATACATCAATACATGGTCAATACATTTGCGGAGTAGACTGATTAATCCGCATTAAAAAAGTCCTAGTACTAAATTTGCTTAGAGAAGAAAATAACAGCAGAGCTTCGTATAGCATCTCAAAATCTCAAGTCAAAGACTTAACATCAAAATTATTCGACTTCAATTCCTCCAGATGTAACTACATGTGTTCTCCTAAACACACTGGATGGAAATGCTGCTTTATCTGTAAATAGTTTTTACACAAATTAAATTAGCAACTTGGATGGACATCCAGCTATAGTCAGTTTGTTACTTTGATTTTGTAGTTATTGATGTATGTTGTCTCTAATTCTTATCATTTTTGCAGGTGAAACAATCAGAGTATTTGTCGACATTGACAACTCTTCATCTCGTGACGTCAAGCTAAAGTACAGCCTCAAGCAGCAACAGACATTCATCGCTGGCAAGAGCACTAATAGAGGATTCAAGTATATAGTCAAAGAGACTAGAGATCGCATCCCTTCTGGAGAAAAGTCAAAATTCATAGTGGACATGACCCTTCCACATGACCTGACTGTCACCATTGAAAACTGCAGAATTCTAAAAGTGCAGTATGAACTCAAGGTGCTGTTTTGTCTTCTGTAGTATTGCCATATTTAAAGCAATAGTTCAGCTTAACAAGACTTTCTATCATAGAGTAAAGCAAAAACATGATTATCTTTCAGGTGTATCTGGATGTGTCTTTTGCATCAGTAAGTCCACTTCACCTGCTAAAACTCTTCGACAGCAATGTTGTAGATGTATGCAGAGCTACTGCAAAACGGAAGTTCAAAATAACATTCTAAAGATGACTCTTTGCTTGTTTCTCTGGAGCATAAGGTCTACAAGCAGCAGTTCTTGATAGTAAAAAAGCCCTTTATCTCTAACCACTCCTACACATATTTTGCTGATAGTACTGCAGTTGTATTGATACTGTACTGCATTTGCACTTTTGACCTCCATCCATGATGAAATGATCTATAGACTGCATCTATTACTGTAAAAATGTTACATGCTTGTACAAGTTTCTTTACTGAAGTTATAATTATTTTATAACATGTTGGATACTCGAGAATCAAATGTGACTAAAAGTAACAACAGACTGAAATTATGCTAAAATAAATGTGGTGACATGGAAGAATTAAAACATCTCAGTCTTGCTCTCAAGCTTGATTATTTTACAAAACATTGGTTTTTATTAAAGCTACAAAAGTTATTTATTGAAGGACAGTGAGATAATTGGAAGTCTTTGTGCTATTATCTCAAGTTCTTTTGTTTGATTAACATTAATGACACAGACAACAGCAATTATATTTGGCAGCTGCAATTTTAGGTCCTAATCCAGCATATTAACGCACATGCGATTTCTTTCCCAAATCTCAAAAACTGCAAGTCTTGTGGGGGTTTCCAGGGGCCCATTCTTAGTACTTTGCTTAATACATCTGAGATGATTTGAAAGATGCCAGATCTTCTAATCGTGATAACTGATCTCTGGCTAATTTGGTTCTTCAAACGAATTTGCAGATTTGATTAAAGGGGTCATATGATGTTGCTAAAAAGAACATTATTTTGTGTATTTGGTGTAATGAAATGTTTATGCGGTTTAAGGTTAAAAAAAAACATTATTTTCCACATACTGTACATTGTTGTTTCTCCTCTATGCCCCGCCTTTCTGAAACGCGTCAATTTTTACAAAGCTCATCGGAATGAAAAGCAAGGTGTGCTCTGATTGGCCAACTATCCAGTGCGTTGTGATTGGCCGAATACCTCAAGCGTGTGACAGAAATGTTACACCCCTTACCATACTGTGGATGCCGTGTCCCGGCCGAAGCGATGAGACAAAAACATTAAAACCCATTATAAACGAGGCATTTGTTGCATCCAGTGGGGACATAATTACTGATTATAATGACTTATACTGTCTTTTTACGCGTTGCATCGCACCGCGTAAACATAAAACCATGTCTGCATTTGTGATCGTAAAAATGACAAACAACAAGCGCTACTCTACACTCTGTTTGAATCATCAGTGGCAAATTCTTTAAATATAAAAACGTACTACGAATTTGCGGATTTGATTAAAATATCTGGATTAAGTTGTCTAAGATTACTGCGCGTTCTCCGAAAAGGGCAGATGTATCGATACTCGAAACCTCGATCAGCAATGCAGTGATTGGCTGGCGGCAAGACAGCAACGTAATGACATCATATAATGAAAAAAGACACCTGATAAAAAACTTGACAAATTTCTGGACTTTTATAACAAAACTACATAAATGTTATAACAGATAAATGAAATGTGTAGGCTACTGTTTTGATTTTATTTACTTTTTTTTTTTTTTACATGATTCCCAGTTATTTATATTCACGATTTCTAGTATTTGTACAGGCTTTACATTTTTATTTCAATGTTGTAATTAGCCATTCATTTAATTTTATCTTTGAGACAGATTTGTTACGTGACAGCATTAATTAAAGTTTCTTAAGGGTCAAGATCAAGTTATCAGCATCTCCTGCGATCCATCAAGCCACTCCCATGATATCTGTCACCCCTCAAATTAATGCACGGCTCAGGTTAACTTTATTGCATGTGTGTAAGACTCCAATACAATTATAAAGTAATTATTTTATAATGAATAAATATTTCAGTGAGTAAAACTGGCTGTGTCTACATTATTCTATTATTTTAAATTGCTGTCCCTGGATCAGTAGGGTACTCTTCTAATAAAGTAGCAGTGGCTGGTATCAATTCTGCTTAAAAAGATGCGATCTAATCCTGTTTACATGAAAAAACCCGAGTAGCTTTGAGCTTTGAAGAACCAACCAATCCAAGATCATGCCAAATCGTCAACAATCAAATCCAGCTAACTTGAGTTAGCGATGTACGAAGAACGGACCCCTGGTATGTTTGTGGTTAGTTAAACCACCAGAAACGGTGTTATGCTCTGATAAGTGTTCTGCTGGGAAACCCTGGGTCTTGGCATTCATGTGGATGCTACTTTAACATGTGCCACCTACCTACAGATTGCTGCAGACCATGTACTTTCTTTCAGTGATATAATGCACCCTACCAAACTGCAAAAATTGTTCAGGAATGGTTTGAAGAAAATGACAAAGTGTTTAAGGTGTTGTCTTGGCCTCCAAATTCCACAGATCTCAATCCAACTGAGCATCTATGGGATGTGCTGGACCAACAAATCTAATCCATCGAGGCCCCTCCTTGGAACTTACAAGACTTAAAAGATCTGCTTCTAATGTCTTGGTGCCAGATGCCACAGGACACATTCAGAGATCTTGTGGAATCCGTGCATCAAAGTATCAGAGCTGTTTTGACAGCACGAGGGGAACCTACAGTTTTAATGTTGTGGCTGATCAATGTAAGCTACAGCAGATAAACCTGCAAGTGATCTGAAACGATCTGAATCCTCTAATAAAATTATCTTCAGTATTCTCTCTGCTTCGCCTCCTCTTGCCATCTTTTACAAAGGATGGTGCTGAAGCTGCATATAATATTTTCTCAAGTGGGGACTCTGTCCCCGGAGTCAGGAGTTCTTATTGACATCCTAAGAAGATTTGGCATGAAACAGAAATTGTGGCTGACTTGTCTCTCCTATGTGACATATTTCTGAACGAAAAAGCTTTTTACACAAGGAAAAAAAAATAGTAGAATGTAAATTATTTTTTGTCCATTAGGAATTTATTGGAATGTGGAAAGTGGCCACTGCAAACTAAATAAACGATAATTTCAAGTGAGTACCAGTTTGCTGGAGGGGAGTGATTGAAACTCATCTGGTCTTTGGACAACTTTATTGCCCAACCTTCACTCCAGTGCACACGTCATCAGAAAAGATATGAGCGGTGGGAATGTTAATATTTTTTTGATTAAAGATTATGAGGACAAAATAAATAATAAGAAAATAAAATAATGTGCATGGATAAATAATTTGTAATAAACACTTTTTCATTCTTATTTCATGGTAACTTTAAAATACATTCTAAATTATTTGCAGAAGTTGGTTGAAAGAGACAAGAAATACTGGGTCCACATATCTACACTCAAAATTATAGAAGTCAGGAATCAGGAATATCTAAATCATGGAGACATCCTTATTGACTATGAAAAACTTAAGAATACAGATAATAATTGGTGATGCTCAGTTGTCCATACTGTACTTAATGCTGCACTTCAAGCTGACCAGTGGACCTGTAAACATTATTGTGTTTATGCATGATTTTACTTTTTTTGTATAAATGTTTTGCTCATCTCATGCTACAGCCTTATGAAAGATAAGATTCATCTTCTGTTGTGGTACGCAAGCAGGTCCCCCGGCCAATCATTTACATTTACATTTAGTCATTTAGCAGACGCTTTTATCCAAAGCGACTTACAAATGAGGGCAATAAAAGCAGTCAAAACTAACAAAAGAGCAACAATATATAAGTGCAAATGACAAGTCTCGGTTAGCCTAACGCAGTACACGTAGCAAGGTGTATATAAATATATATATACTGAGCCCTGAGGCACCCCAGTAGCTAGATGTTGCGACTTGGACACCTCACCTCTCCAAGATACCTTGAAGGGCCTATCTGAGAGGTAAGACTCAAACCACTGGCGTGCGGTTCCTGAGATGCCATTTTCCAACAATCAGGACTCCATCTATCACTGTGAACTCTGAACTGAAAGATCAGTGCTGACCAGGCAGGTGTATGAAATGCCACTCTCTCAAGAATATTTTTTTATATATTTTTTTTTTTCCGAAGGCATGAAACTTTGTCACTCCTGCTTCACTCATGAGAACAGGAAGAACCATCATGTAGTTGCCTCTGAATATTTAGTCTAGTGTACATAGATACAAAAAAATGTCAGGATCCATCAAGTTCAGTCTTTTTATGACCCAATTAATAAAAGCAATACTTTTACTAGTGGGGATATTGTGGAGGGGAGAGTTGTTTTAGAAGTAACCAAAGAAATAAAGGTGGCCGTTTTTTTTTTTTTTTGAAGCCGACGGGGGATGCAAATGTGAACTGGACTGAAAAAAAAAGTGATGATGATAGAGCCTACAATGACCGTGAGCGATACTTCAAAATAAAGCAATACTTCATATTAAAGAAAGCTTGAAAAAAGGTTACATTGCACAAAAATGCATACATTTCTATAAAATATTTAAAAAATATGTTTTTTAATTATTATATAAATAAAATAATGTATGCATTCATAAACTGGACTTATGCAAAATAAATGCTAATAGTAACTTACAAGTCAAAGTTGGGACAGATCATGCTTGAAAGAGAGACGTTTTCAGTAAAGAATAAAGAAATAATAAATAAGAATGGATATAATATATTGTTTGCTGTGATGTCTACAAGACAAGAACAAAGGAAGTAAGGGTTTTCATATACCTTTCAGACATATAAGTCATTTGAATCCTAAAAAGATTGTTTGCTAACAGTAGACCAGCGAAGCTTCATTACAACTCTCTTGTAACTCATGCTGTACTAATGCCTCAGATGGATCAGTGATTAGGCCAGGAAGGCATATTTTTCTATTCAGATTTCAGCTGCCTCAACAGTCAGTGATACTATTGAAGAATTCCTCTCTTTCAACATACATCTTCAATGACATTTGTTCTTTATGAATATGTGCAAACAGTGAAATAAAAACAATGTGTGCTTAACACCCCATAAACTCAATGTACAGAACACATTTCTTATCAGTATGTTATAATATTGAAAGCAAAACTTATCATCATCCATCATCATCATTCTCTGAAAAAAAGTAGATGCTAGTCATTTATATTGCTTATTA